CCGCTTTGCTAAAATTACAGTTAACTTTCATTGTCACTCTTGACAGATTACTGTGGCAAGATGACACATCTTTGCATCTTTTGCTTCCACAAATCCCACCAAAATTTGGACAGTCTCCATGACAGGATCTGGAGATTGCTGCTTTGAGTACCAGTTTCATCACGAGTTGATTATGCTCTAACTCACAACAGCTGGCTTTGGCTCCAGGTCACTTTGCCCCTTGGACAGTTCTAGCCTTCATTTTCTACCCCGGTGTTTCCATTTCAACCTGCCGTGCTTTGCTCTTCTAAACAATCCATTTCATGGCCCTTTAGTTAAGTGTGCACAGCAATTTATATTTCTCTTGGTGATAATGTATTTTTACTAGGAGGCCAATAATCAAGGAAATGCTGAAATCTGACGTGCCATTTAACGTAAATGCATATTATTTTCTGTATCAAATTATAACTGATAATAGTCTATGTTCAGATGCATACGGTCAAAAAGTATTCACCCCTGCTTCATTGTTCTAAAATGCTTTAGATCGATTTTAATACCAGACAGACAAACTGAATAAGTACAAAATGCAGTTTTAATGGTTTTAATGGTTTGGAACGACATGGTGAGAACTAAAGTGAGAACCATTATCCACAAATTCTGAAAATTTAGAAAAGTGAAGAAAGCAAAAAGAAGAGGTCAAATCCTCCCACGGTGTCGTACAAAGTAATTGTCCGTTTACAAATGCTACATGGCAGTCGTTGCCAGCTAATGATGGTTGGATTGAATTGCTTTTCCTCTTCAACAAATAAAATTACATTTTGAAAGCTGCTTGGTGAATGTAGGTTACCTTTGTCTGAAATTGAAATTTGTTTGACGTTCACAAACATCTACGTGGGGGAAAAGAGAAACAAATAGTCCATTAAAAGTGCCAACTTTGCATTAAATTGTCATTATTTACAAAATTAAGCAAAGTTGGCACTTTTAATGGACTTTTAATGCAACTTTTAAAGCAACTTTGCATTAAATGTGCCATTATTTACCGAATGACACTTCATGACTTGTCATGGACAATCATAAAGACTCTTTCATGTTCATGACAGTCACATCATGTTCATGACTGTTCACACCCAGTCAAATAAAGTGTTACCGAAATATGTAAGAGGGCATATACTTTTTTCACAGCACTTTGTCTTTCACTTAGATCACCTTATATATACAGTTTAAGACGTTGTATGATGTGAAGCCCAGAGAAACTTCCTAGAAAGAGTAAACTTCCTCATCTAGTCTGGGTAATAGATGGTAATTTTTTTCCCCTCCAGACTGTTTATATTAATAAAACACCTATGACTTAACATAGTTTCTGTAAAAGCAGTGCAGAAATGCCTGAAGGAGGCCTGGATGAAAGTCCACACTAGGGGACCTGGAAAGACTCAGCTGAAAACTAGAACAGGGCTTCAGGGCATTCGACTACAGCTTCATGGGTTAAAAAAAAAAAAAAAGCAACTTTTTGAGCCGAACGTCAAACAACATCCTCACAGAAAAGGTTGGTGATGTTTAACATCAGACTCAACTCAACAGATAAATCATTACTTTATAATCTGCGAGCCATATAGCGTGTGGAATAAACAGTGAGTGTATTGTAGGTGTTTAACTTCAAGCAAAACCGATGAAGTTTCACTTCCTGCAGTGTCACAAAAAAAAAACTGTAGGAACTAATCCTCAAACATTAAAATGGACCTCAACAATCACCAAGGACAGGAGAAATCCACTTAGCAATGAAAGAGACTGACAGCGTGCTCTTAGCTTTGTCACGGCCAACCCTGTATCCCAGCCTCAACCCTCGGAAATTGTTTGGTCAAATGGGTCAAACCATTTATGAGCAGCTGTTGTGTGATTGGCTTCAATTTATATGGGGAAAAACAACTTACCCTGAAAAACTACCAGACAGCATGTTGGCAATTTGCAGAATCGTGATGAAAGCAACGTGAACAGTGCAAGTAATAGTCTGCTCTTTTTAAAGAATCCTTGATCCGTTTGCTGCAAAACTGGGTTTTATGATACTTGGACTGATTCAGATTTGTTTTACACATTTCTTCCTTTAGTTAATACTTATTACACTGTCCTGATATGTTCCTGTAATGTAGCTGCACAGCACAAATAATAATATGTTATTGTTTGCTCTGTTGCACCGCGTGGATGCTATCATTTCATCATTATGGATCTCTCCTCTCCATCTCTGTTCCTTGTCTTTCATATGTCTGTATTATTCAAAAGCTCATCCTTCCACTCATAAGAGGAAATCATTTGTCACTTCACTCAGGATATCGGAGGCTGAAATGAATCCCTGTGCAGACGCATTTATTTTTTTCTTGATCCTCGACGACATAATTCACTCATGTTTTCATTTTCATATGATTTATATCTTTTATTTTGCATTTTTATACTCGGCTATAGATTAATATTAAATAAATGTTGTATATGCACACAGGGACAAAGTGAAGTTAATTTTATTGAAAATTTTCACAACACCTCTTTGTGTGTAATTTTCTTTCAGCTCTGTAATTCATCAAGCCTGTGCCTTTTTATTTATCGCAAAGTTTTTCTTTGGCGTAGCTTTTAGTCAAAATGACAAGAAAGCCTATAGTTATTGCTTTTACTGTTCTTATCAGTCAGACTACGTTTTGCACTGACTGGATTTCAAATGAGCTGCGCCTGTATGTGGTGTCCTCTGGCTCTAGGCTGCATCCGTTAGCCGGCCGTGACTCCTTCCGAGATGAACCGATGGAAAAGTGGAAGCAGGAGGCATAAAAGAAGGCCAGCAGGAGAAGGAAGCAGACGACACAGAAAATGACAATAATCACAATGGTCTGTATTTCCATGTGGTGCCTTTCCTCAGGCAGAAGTGTGGCCGGGGTCATGAGGCTCAACGCTGCTGGGGTAGCATTGAAACTGGGAAACCACGACTCCACGGATGCAAAGTGTGTGACTACTGACATGATGAGAAGGGGTGCTTCCTTTGTAGGCTGGGCAGGATTGATGATACCTTCAAAAAGAAAACACACATAATTCAGTGCAGAATCAAGTCCCAACTACCTGAAGTCACTTTCAAACAGGCACATTATTAAGTAACTCAGTAGTGTGTGGACTGTAATAACTACCAGGTCCTTTAAATGGCCTTAATATCCAGACACCAACCAGTCTCCCTTTCTGTCCAGAACCCAGTCAATCACATTGATTATCAATAAGGTTAATTCAGCTGAAGATTAATTATTGACCTCTTGAGGAAGTTAAAAAAACTGCATTCACAAAGGAGAACAAGAAGATTATTTATTGGGGTGGAAAAAGCATTTAATTCAGTATTGCACCTAACTTGATTATAGATAGTGTTAATCAAACAGAAACCCAATGATTATCAGCCTTTATGCAGCAGACTGTTTTTGTACATACAAAATAATGCAGTCTGAAACTTAAGAAAAACTTTCAATATTCTCAGAGACAAACATCGAGGAAGACTGGATGAGCTAAGAGTCCAGTTTGTCCACTTTAAATAATAAAATCTGGTCTTTTAAGCAAAGTGGACAGGGCAGCGAAGAGTCTGGTTGCTGCAGAAGGGTATTGGTTTAATTTGGCAATAATAAAGCCCACTTTGAACACCAAATTATGAACAATGAAATACCCCTGCGCACAGTCTGTAGATGGTTGTACAGAATTGTAGTTACTCTTTATTTTAAATATAGACTATTACTTGCACTAGTTATAGTGGAAGTAATAGTCACAGTTACTAAAACAACAATTCAAGTAATGATTGGCACAAAGCAATGAAAACAATTATAAACAGCACCATGATGTATGAAGAAATAACTCATTCACACTTTTGAACTGATACTTTTCTAACTTCTTCTTCTAAAGCTAGCTGAGCTTCATTGCTAGAGCTATAGCTGATAGCTAAGTGGGAAGTAATTTTTGTTGCCACTTGTATAGCCTTTGCTCAGTTGCTCGATCCTTCGCACACCACAGAAAAGGATGAAGCCCAAGGAATGTGCAGCTTCAAGCAAAACACCATAAACATTGCAAGATAAGCATGTTAAAGTGCTGATAATCTGCATAAGACTATTTTATACCACCCTTATCCCTTTGACATACTTTACTATGTCAAGCTTAACACTATTCATTTTAGAAATTTTTTTTTATTCATTGCATAAAACACTGCACTGACTTTGTCTTTTGTGCTTACCTGTTGCGTTCAGGAGCCGTACCGCCGTACTCAATCTTACCGTTACAGGATTCTTGGTTTGCTTTTGGTGAGCACAGGTCGGGAAGTATCATAAAAAACGAGAGGGAGGGCTGGAGAGCAATGGAGAGGAGAGGTGGCTGGAGGACCAGGAATAATAGGGAGGGCTGCCATGGCAACGCAGACTTAGGGGCCGCCCGTGTGACAGTGACATCACATCCCCTCAAAGTGCTGTCATTCATGATATACAGTTATATCTATGGGCAGATAATTTTTAACAAAAGAAAGAGGAGTATAGTTGAAGCACAAACAAAGTGAAAGCTAAAACAATGTGGCCTTCAGTGAAGCCTATAATTTATTGACACACTGTCAGGAATTAAGGCTTTGCCTGACCAGAAGGTCCAGGATAAAAGCAAGCAGATTCCTTGGTGGCTAAGAGATTATTCAGACCCTTTGGTGCAGCCACCTGTTAGTTAAAAAAAAAAAAAAAAAAAAAAAACCCTCAATGCACATTGCAAAATACCAGCTTACCTCCCCTCCCCCAGGGCCTTCGCTGTCTGCCTCCTTCAAACTACCATAATGATCCATTTTTCACAACTTGTAATTGGTGCGGCACCCCCCAGTGAAGTACCAGGGGGTGCTCAAAGGCAACTGAGGACTAAAAATGTTCAGTCTTGCCTCAGATTAAAATCTGCAAGAAGAAAATCATTAAATTCATGAACATCTACTGAGAAGTCTAAAGCTCTCCGTCAAAAGATTCAAGAAATAACAACAACAACAAAAATGATAGAAGTATTCATTAGCACAATTTAATGTGTAAAAGCACAGAATGGACCCCGCTAGCTGTTAATTTCAGAGTGGCTTCAGGTGGTTAATTGCAGCTTTACACAATAGAAACAAAGGATCCATTACATCCAAATGCAGTTAGGAAGAGCCAAAAAAAAAAAAGGGAGCATGAATGAAGGATTTAGCACACACCAAGGTCAGTCAAACAAAACACAACATGAGGAATAATCACAGGAGTGTGTGGGCCCTAATGCCTGGAGGGTCTCTGACGGCTATCCTCCCAGGAGAGACAGCTGACAAAGACAGAGCTCTGAAAAAAAATAAAAAAAATCAATGGTCTGACCGCATCTTACAAAGAATGTAAAAAACAGGTTTTCTCCGTCCCAGTTGCTCAGATTTTGTTAGAGGATTTGCATTCCCGCTTGAGGAACAAACAGCATTCACAGCTGGAAGCGAGAGGCGTCGTGTGGCAAAGCCGATGATGACAGACAAAAACGATGCTGCAAGACGGGCAGTCTGCGACGTAATGGTTCCAAAATTAACATATAAAACGTTTCATGGAAAAGAGCCTATGCCGAAATTACTCAGTCTCGCTCTGTGTGTAATTTCCTGCACTGTTTGCTCTGCTATGCCATTAAGATTTGATATCTTGTTTGCTATGCCACATAAGTGTGTAATTTTAAGCTGTCTCTTCTGCAAGTCTTGTTGCTCAGTTTGTCTCCATCTCACAGCAAAATGTTAGCACTTGTCAGATTAACTTGTAGTTGTCTCACAATGAAGTATGTACATTGACATTAATGCAGTTTCTGTCCATCAGTGACAGTTGTTTTTTTTTTTTTTTTTTTACGGGATTGTACCTCCTCTCTCCGTATTGTGCTAAGTGAAATGTAAAAACACTTTGATTACATAGGGACGGCTTTAATCTGAAAACAAGTAACAACACAGCAGAAATGACTAATTTTATTGTCAAAATGTGCACGTTACACACACTCACACAAAAACGGCTACTGCAATGCTACACACTTTCCTTGGTAATTGCAGCATTAAGGAACTCAGACAGATTCAACCAAACCTTTTGGGATGAAACCAAAATGTTTAATTTCCAAACAATGTTAATACTTAAAACACTGATACTTATTAGAACTAGGTTCTTCTTTATGTCGACTACCTTTGTAAAACATTCATAAAAATAAAAATTCATAAAAACAGAATCATTCCAATCTATGAGGTCAGCTGAATGCATCATAATTAGATGAAGTGAAAGATATGAATCACATTCTGTGACGCTGGTGCGCTGGTTCATTCTGGTCAGTGTTATTTTGGGACTGGTCTTCACTTCTTCTTGTTCACAATGTTGTTGCAAATCCAGTTCATGCCGTCCTGTTGGCAAAATTAAGACAGTAATTGTGTGTGTTCAAATTACTCTTATGCAAGTAAACAGAGTTGTCCTGATTTTTCAGTAGATGTTTATTCAAAAATTATTCGCAAAAGTAGTCATGCCTTTTATGCATTTTGCAACACTGCAATCGCAAACTTTGATATATCTAGCATGGATATTCCATAACTTCCCAATAGAAAGTGGCTCAAAATTGGCATGTAGAAGGAAAATAAAACAGTTTTCAAAACAAAATAGTTTTACAAATAGAAATCTGAAAACTGTGGCACATATTTGACTTCATCCTTGTTTTAGTCAATACTTTGCAGAGCCATCTGTTGCTGCTATCAGCTAAGCATCTCTTTAGGAATGTGTTAATCAGCTTTGCACATCTAAAGATATATATATATATGTTTTGCTCATCATACTCTGCAAATTAAGATTTGCTGTCAGACGTGACAGGAAGCCGCTGTCAACATAGATTATCATGCCTAATCACAAACTTCTAATATCCCTGAGGTCTAAACAGTTTAAAATTGCTGTTGCTAGAAGGGAAACCTTCATCTCATTTTCCAGTAGCAGGGTTCCTTCTAGAGTTGCCCTGTAATCCTCCAAATAACTCTGCTGACGTATTCCCACATCATGACGCAGCCTCCACCGTGTTCCACGTCAAAAAAGTTCTGCTTTGGTCTCATCTGACTTGTAACCTAACCCTGATTCGAATTTGTGCGTAATTATGAAAACTGTGTGCTATTTTAATTCCACTTTACAAATATTCACTTCTTTATGTTTTGGACTTTATGTCCCATAAAATCCTGATGAGATAAGAGATATTTATGGTTGTAATGTGTCAAAAAAAAAAAAAAAAAAAAAACTAAATAAGCAGCTGTTGCTCCTTACCTGAACTCCCTCCCCAGAAACGGCCGAACATGCCTGAATTTGCCACTCGCGGTCCCGGTATGTGTGCAGGTTGAGCCCCTCAGCAATCTCGCTAGCCGGTGACGCTGTGGCCAGATCTTGCTTATTAGCGAAGATGAGCACCGGAACGCCCTTCAAATTTTCTTCATCGATCAGCTCAGACAGCTCCTGCACAAACAGCTTTTGTGAGTCATGCAGACTGTCAAAGTAAAATGTTTGATGTAGAATACTGAAAGGACATCACCGATCCCAAAGTGGTAAATTAAACACAGATAACTACCTTTAGTTCCTTGGTTAGGGATGAGAGTTATGCTAGCTTTCATCCTGGTATATAATTAGAAAAGTACCTTAAGCTGCCAGAACAAATATACAGTTTTCAACGACGGATAAGTCAGACTTCGTGTTGTAAGACAGCAAACAAAACGGGGTATGCATGAAAATGACAAGATAATTTTATATAATCAGACATGACATAGTTTTGTAGTCAGAGAATGACTGAAATATTGCTTTCTGAAATCGTTCTGTCATTGTAAGTTTTAAGAGTTCAAAACATCCCAGCAGATGCTTTCAAGTCGGTGTAATTATTACAATAGCAGCATCTTCCACCTTTCCTTATTCAGTGCAGTAGCATGATCTCACAATGAACAATTTTGCTGCAGGTTTTCTAACAGTAAACCTTTGATTTTTTCCCCCCATTCCTTATCATCCTTATCAATAAATTAGGAAGACATCATAGATTAAGAGAAGACAATACTGTGTTGATATTCTTTTCTGTATTTCAGGTTTCTCAAGATTTCAGTTAAAAATATGGGCAACTTACTAAGCAAACTGAGATGATTATCTTACTCGGGTTTTGCAGAAACCGCTTGAAAATCAACAAGGAATTTTAAATACACATAAAAAGTCAAACGTGATATCTTAAGACACTGTGATGCTTCTTTTTTTTCTGTTTTGTGGGGTGGGAATCAAAATGAATTTCCAAGCTCACCAATCCCGTCTCCTCAAACCTCTTCTTGTCTGCGCTGTCAATAACATAAATCTAAAAAAAAAAGAAGAAAACATAAAAAATAGTCTATTCTCTTAACAGCAT